GCTAAAATGTGGAAAGCTACGCCACTACAATTCTCACGATTCAAAGTAAACAAAACGAAAACCAATAAATAACCAATAAACACAATGCAAATATGGACTCCGTCTATGTTTAAGTTCATCTACAATTTAAAAAATGCGTATTTTATGAAGACCCATATTACTTAAAATAGCAAGATGTCCAATAAGTGTTGAAAACTCATCAACTAAAATTAATTAACAATGTTGCACATTTGCATAACCCACCAAAAGATGCTCACAAATATGTTGCTATGTCATCTAATATTTCAATATGGCCTAATTGGGTTTCAATCTACATATTTGCAGCTGGGTTGAACTTGAACTCGGGAAACAATAGAGTTAAGCAAAATTTAGCTACATGCAATGGCCAGTCAGGTTCAACAGCTTCACCTCTTTGTTGTGTTCAATCAAATTTTCACTACCATCAAAGTTGTATGTTATGGCATTGTTTTGACAACATTTGGGCAAGCACGTGGTTTTGGCACGGACCATAAAACCTTCTTGCTTTTGTGGCCTCACGCCAATAACAGTGAGAAGAATACCGATGTAGACATCCTCGATGTTTAACAATCTAGTGCGGAGAGATGCTCGATATAGTCTTGCTACAACATCGCCTGATATAATGTAAGACGTGCCCGAGGGCCGAGGTGGGTAATTCGCCAGTGGCCATTCTTCCTTTGTCACGGGATTCTTCACCGTGCGTTTTCGAAATGCTACAGGAAACTCGTTTACATTTCCAGTCACGTAGCTACTTCTTGGCGCAGATTCCAAAAAAGAGATCAAGTTGTTCAAGTTCACCAAGATATCACTGTCAACTTTCAACAGATATTTCGTGTTGGAACAGTAATCTGTGATCCATCGGAGGATCATAATGGACTTCAAAGTAAGGTTCTTGTAAGAGTCTACAACGTCAATGAGAATGATATCGCGATGTGATTGGCTTTCATTAAAAAGTTTGGCAGTTACGAAGTCTTCATTTTCTGTTGGTTTTCCAATAATGAATAAGTGTATTATATCATGTTGCCGAACTTCTTGAGTGTGTCCTCTTGTCTCGCGGATGACTCCACGCGCGGCAAACTCTTCTGGCCTGCATGGAGTTATCATTGTGAGAAACGGTGCTGTGCGGCATCGACTGACGGGATTTACAAGGTACATAAAAGGAAATGAATTTGTTGTGTACAGATCAATAGCTTCTTCTATATCCCGTAGTGTGACAATTCCTTTATTAGTCAAATTACGATCTGACCCAGTCCTTGTTGTGTTGTTGTTGTTGCTGGTGTCACTGTTGTTGTTGTTGTGGTGGTGGTGGTGGTGGTGGTTGTGGTGGTTGTTGCTCTTGCTGCTGTTAGTGCTGTTGTAGTTTTTATTATGAAGAAATATTGAGAAGGGCATCGTCTTGGTTACTCTGCCTGTAAGACTATCATTGAAAATACTTATTATCAAAGTCATGACACACACTACAGACATTGTAGCGTATTTACCCACTGCACTCTTGTGTATACGCATTATTAGTGTACGTTGGGGAGTAGTTTGTATCCAGTATTGCTCCTTCGAATATTCAACCAACTCTACTTGCTCGTGTACACTTTATACATGTACATACTGTAAACAACAAACAAACAGACAGAAAGACACATTATGTATCATGTATCGAAACTACATATCTGTATTGTCAGAAAACTGTGTCAGCTAAACTAATCAAAATCGGTTGGAAAAACATTAGATATAATTAGAGAAATAGCGAGTGCCGCAAAATGCCTTTCTGAAGTCTGAAATCGACCTAGAGGAAGAAGTCCCGTGGTGTTTGTATCATTTTTGTTAAAACCATCAACGTAAATGCAAGTACCTCACTGTACTGAAATTTCGGATAAGCTTTTTTTTTTAACTTGGAGTATTCAAATTACTTGTACATTGTTCATCATTTTGCATGTAAATTGTTTCTCTTGGTTGTACCTTTTGTTGCCTATATTTGTACGTTGTCAGAACGAAAATATGGGGTCCATATGTAGTGTACTGCAGTTAGCAGCCTCGCTGAATTATGAAACTATTGGAGCCAAGCATATACTACTTATTCCAGTCTGTATTTGATCATTACGGGCTAGAAGAAGACACGAATCCGACTCAATCCAACTACTGAGTTAAAATCATTCTGTAAAATTACATCGTTATGCGATAGTTATAATAGTAAATCTTCCGAATGAACTTTGAATACAATGGCGTTTTAGACGTACAGGCACACTTCATTAGCCCGTGCCAATGATCTTGACCTGATTTAATCCGTACTTAGCCTTTCTTAGCCCGTGCCTAAGCGTTCACGCGCGTTTCTTAGCACGGGCTATGGTATTTGAACTCTTAGCCCGTACGTGTGCGTGAACGCTACTATCTCCCCTTCGCCACAACGAAGTATAAACGCAGAAATCTTGAAATGGATTAAGCCTTTATTTGTTTTAAATGGGAAGCCAAACATTGTATTTCATTCAGCTACAGCCGATAGCATCTAATACACATCTGTTGCATTCGCTAAATGGTTCTTTGCGTGTGGTGCTGGATAAACCATACTATCACACGCGACACCGGGGGTGTTGGTAGTATTACTTTTTTTAAAATTCCATTCACAACTAGCGGAATAAATGTGTTACAATATATATATATATATATATATATATATGGCACTGTATATACATAATATGTATATGGCATTATTCGGAGCATTACTTGTCAGTCATACACTTTGACTGACCTTAATGAATACATTGTCAAATATTGTCATAACGACTAAGCCTACTGTTTATGACTAGTTTAAAGAGCTGCAATGAAATGAACAGGAGTTCGCTCAAATCATGTATGCATAATGTGTTCGTACAATGAACAATAGCATGAAAAACAACCATGTAAGATATGTTACGGACAGTAACATATAATTCAATGGACAATAGAGTAATACTGAGTTACAGCAAAAACAATACTGACAACCAACATTCTAAATTCATAGCAAAAAAAAAAAAAAACGTAATAACATGTATCATACCGCTTAGTAAAGAATAAGTCATATTTGACCTTTATACTCACTGTAAACATGAAATTAAAAGTTCCTATTCACAGTGCGATATAACAAATGGTACCTCAGTATTCTACAGCGTTCACCATGCACATGCCTGCTGCAACCAACGTACAATAGATTTGCACAGCTGTTACGTTATATTAGTAGTGATCATGCGCAATTAACGTGACGGATTTGACTAGATGCGCCTGCACAATCTAAAAAAGAGAGGTCACTATATAAGGTCGTCAGGGGGGGGGGCGTTTTGTTTCGATCATTCATTTACTTTTATCATTCTAAATAAAAACAAAATTATTTTCCATTCGCGCGATTCACCAATCAACATTATGCCACTAACAACGTCATTTCTCGAAGTGACTTGCATCAAATAGCAATGATAAGAATATGCTTAAAGGTAAAGGCAGATTATTCGAAAACAACGCAAACTATTGTCCAATACACAGGGAGCATACTCAATAAGTATCACTCATATTTATTTGACTGGTTGAGCGGCTGGAGAACTATTCACCAATTTAAATTGAACTACGTACTAGTCATAATCATGTGAAAGTTGGGACCTGTCATCTGTTGAATGAAACGTTCTCTGTAATCTACATTTCACTGGACAGAACACGCACCAGTCCTATCAAATCCGCTGTCTATATTCCGGTCAACGGCTTCTCCACTGATAAATATAAATAAGTAAAAATAACAGTTGGACGACTATGGATCTTTGTCTACATAAAACATGTGTAATTTATTGTTGGTAATTTAAATAATATGCTGCTGGTGACGACGGACATTTTTCTTGTAAAATTCTGTATAATTGTACATACGTTATATTTTAATGTTTTTCTATGAAAAGAACGATTTGAAGCATCTGATGATCATCGACGGAAATTATTTTCTCTTACCTTAACAGGGTTGTTCTGGATACCATTACTGGATATTTCAAATTTTTTTACCTGTAAATATATTTTTTTTTCCTATTTCAGAATTGTATTTTTCACAAATAGTATGGGTAATAATCATATCATATCATATCATATCATATCTTTTCAATTATAATGACTTCCGATAACAATGTAGACATCATATCCTGCAATAGGTAGCACAAGGAGGTTTTTGTACCCCGCTTTCTAAAACACAGAAATAGTCGGTGTTCTCCACTTCTACACGTTCCCCACTTATCAAAAGTAGAAATAACTGTAAGAACAATATTTTGACTCTGATCGACGAGCAAACAAGAGCATCGCCGCAACATTGCAACCTTGCTCCGATCCAGTGTTATGATGCAAATGTTAATTTCGAAGAGTTACAATTTATGTCCTACTATAGTTTTATAGAGTTAAGACTTTTAATACGATTTCGATTTCAGTGAAAATATTAATATCGTGCGCTGTTCAGTTCGATTCAGATTAGTTTTCGTGCTAATATTTTAATTCATATTTTTAATCTCGTTTTCTCATTGTTGTGACAGTGTAACTTTCGTGTGATGAATATTGATATTGGTTCCAGATATATACCCGGGTCTGTTTGACAACCTTGATTTAAACAAGAAACAAGATATAAAATACACCATAACGTTCCATACATATCTGTACATGGTGTAATATGATACAATATTTACGGGATTTACTGGCAAGCAGTATCCTATGGCAATCCTACTTGTCGTGTTCTCATTTCTGAATCACGCCCTCAATCAACAAACACGCACAATGATTCGCCAGTCGACACAGCTTCGTGTATGGCATACACTATAATCGGTATATCACAGGAAATTTAGCATTTAATTGGTAATTACAACACGGGAGCGTTTTACAATAAATAATGGCTGCATCTCATATTAAACGTGCATGTTTTGGTTAGCTAACGCATTACAGGAATTGAAATTAAATAAATCTCGGAGAATATCTCATCCCATTAAAAGCTTTATAGCAGATAGCTGATTCGTATCGCTGACTTGATTCGTACACAGACGTAATTCGTAAATTGTTGCATTTATGACGATCTTCAATTTTTGGGGACACAAGCCTGAAGGGCTAGGCCCCTATTATCATCCGACTTTTCTTCTTTCTTCTTCCATGTTTTTTTTTTCGTCGACTCGTTTGATAATATGGATGAAGCCTGAACATTTATGTACTGACGATCAACGGAAACTGGTACACCTGACTTCAAAATGACGATCAGTTATCTTCTTTTAAAAACAGCAAACTAGTAGCGGAATGTAATGTACTATACACATGCGAAATGTTGACCCATTCTGGTTAGCCGTCCTTGAGAAGAAGTCGATTGAAAGATTCAATGATGGTGCATTGTAGGCATTTTTTTTAATTGTAGCTACAGCTTTTAAACTTGGTACGCGCATTGGTGCTTGTATGAACTACAAATGTATGCTCTCAGCATTCTGATTGCTCGAAAAACTTTGGCCGCTATCTTGAATTAAGCCGAAACAGGAAGTGACGATTTTTTACTGTTTCTGAGGGTCTAGGGAGAACGATTTTTTTTTATATAAATCTCATCTCATGTGCTAAGTTAACCCACGAGATCTTGGCCGCCATGATTTCTCCCTGAAAAACAGCAAAAAATCCATTTTCTCAAACCACTAAAACAGAATGGGTTTTAGCATCTATGTATGAAATGCATCAAAGTTTGATGGCTGTTTCAACTAATGGCCGCCATCTTGAATTATAAGAAAATACAACCGAAATGTGGGGCATTTGTTTCTCTTGAATGTTTAAACCAATTAACTTGATATTTTGCATATAACATGCATGATCGTAGCTCCATAACATAATTTTTTATCAGTCATCATTGATTCCTGTCAAAAATAACCAAAAGTTGGGCATTTGTTTTGCATAAATGTTTCAACCAATCGACTTGACAATGTGTATATACCATATATGGTCATAGCTCGGATTAACTCTTTAAAGGAAAAAATAATATAATTTTGATCGGTCACGTGGTTTGGATGCCACCTTGGTGCTTCAACTGATCAACTTGCTATTTTGGATATAGCATGTTTAGCCACAGATTTTAAAGAGAAGTATAAATTAATATTGATCAGTCACGTGGTCTGTTCGCCATGTTTGGTTTTGTGAAAAACGAAAATTGTGCAATTATATGTGGTGTATTGGTGGGATTGATCTGTAATACCGTCTTGAGAAGGGGTAGGTCACGTGGTATCTGAAACACTGATACAGCATGTGACCAACGTCATAATGAAGTCATCATTGAACAACTGTACAGATGTAACTATATGATCATGTGACCTCATAACTCATAAGCACATGGTTCATTTTTTAGTCAGAAAAGCATATTTCAATCACCAATCTAGGTGAATACATGGAACCAACTGCATTTTGATCTCATGGTACTGATCATTTGAACTATCCTTCCTAATGGCAATCAGGTGACCTCATTAATTATGAAATATATGTTTGATAGCCTGGGACCCGCTGAGGGGGCTTGCGGCTTTAATTATAGCTTCGTTTGCCCTTAAAGATAACACTTTATTCAGTAGAAACTTGTTTGTTGATTTGATTAAACTAAGAAACACATGATCGTCAAATATGGTTAATGTTTCTACATTGTTTAGTAAAGAGCATTTTTTTCTTTTTTTCGACCATGGAACCATTTGATGTTGATTTCTCAAGCTCCCATGGTCATATTCTTTGGGGACTGTAAACCGTTTTAATCTCGCGAGAGAAAAACAATTCGTCGAGAACACCATAGCATTCATAAATTGCGAATAAAAAATTACAGTTTACAGTACCTTCCCCCTTAATGATTTGACCACGTGTTGTGAATTGTTTGGCAATCGTAACATTTTCAGTTCCATGATTATAACATTTACTTCCACGATGTCTGTTAACCGCTGTTTTAACTCTCCTAATAAGATTCTTTGTCGCCAAGCAATACGCCGCGTGATAGTGATATGTCGCTGTTTTGGGTCATTAACGTCTAATAATTGACATTCTTAATCTCCGTACAAGAAACCGTCCAGCAGGACGTATCCTACTGCAATCCAGTCAGTCATCGTAACATGTAAACCTGTTCAATGATTAGGGACTTTGACTAGAAGGAATATTGTGTGTGCAGGAAAAGGGCAAGAGGTCAATGCATGCGGGAGAATAATTCAACAGTAGTAGCTTTTCAGAGATCAAACAAACGCACATTTGCATAATTTAACATGCAATTGTCGAATGTCCAGCAACACAATAACGAAGAGATACGAAAGCAGTATATTTATACAAAATAGCTTTATAACCAAAGTATGTGGTGCACTCCTTGTAGCGGTTGTTAAATAAATGCTGCTTTGATCTGTTTTACTAAACCGAGACAAATTCGGCAAAGCGTCGTGAATACTTGTGGATGTAATGAATGTAAGATGTGAAATGGAGAGAGCAAAGCAAAAGATACATATCCACCTAGTTCCCCTTTATATGTATAATTAGTTTTGTAAAATACTCGGTTTATTGATATCTACCTGTGTATTTACTACTTCATAATTCTAGACTAACTAATGTTCAATCAACTTTCCCATTGTTATTTTAAACTAGTTAGTAAACTATTGGATGCAATCAGACAATCAACGTGCGAAACTTTTATAACTGTAAATTTTAAGTGGTGCTATATTTAGCACATATTTGGTGTATTAATTGTATTTGCACGTTTGAATGTCTCCTTGCGTTATTAATTGCATTATGTGTTTATTCACCAAACTTTTCAAATCATTCGAAACTAATATTCCAGTATATTCATAGCCCACACTGTGTTTCGCAAATCTTACATTAATACACTTTATGAGTCGTGATCAAGTGGTTTTACAGTACATATTCGTGCACGCGACTACACTATGTAATGTTTTGACATTAGTCTCCATCTCAAAACAACTTCCATGGTTGAACTGATATGTTGATATTTTGATTTTATGTGATTACACGAGTTAGAGAGTGTTTATGATTGGGAACGGTCTAGCTTACAATATGGTAGCTTCAACTGAGATGTTTACTGATAGATAAAGGGCGGATGCCAGCACGGTTGCGGTAGTTAACAGCCTGTTTGGGGTTCGATGTTCTAGTCAATTCGGCGACTTTTAAGTGGTTTTCTGCAGTCCATTCTGTGTTGTCACAGCGTACGTGTGTTACGTAACTTCCTTTGTATAGAAGTACGCATGGAGGTAAATCTATTACGTCAGGTCAATGACCGTATAAATGGCACCTGATTCGCACATATACACATCACAGTGAACTGCCACTTGCTTAGCTCACTATAAGTACTAATATGCATTAATTTACACAGTTCGATGATATTAAAATCGTTCGTTCGAATCCGGTGTAATGTTTCCCATTTTTAAAGTTTATAGAAAGTTGTGAGAACCAAAATCGTTCTGAAAAACTGTCCTTCCCTAGTTCAACAGGTATTGTTTGGAACGAAGAAAAATAGTACTTGTCTAGAAAATGCTGAATGAAAACTGTTAACTATCGTGTCAGAACAATAGAGACGAATCAAACAGTAGTATTATTATAGTAAACTGCACGAGTTGGGTGCGTTTACAACTGTAAACACCAGTTGTTGTCATCATTTTCTAAACGCACGAGGCCGTATTTACGAGATGGTGACAAAAAACTGTGGCATTCACAGTTGTACACGCACGACAACGAGACGCGATTAACGATTTATACCGCGAAGGAAACGACAAAATTGAAAGATTCGGCAATCGGTTGCATTGCCAGTGCACATCACTGGGCGCTTTGTTATTTACTCATGAGTAATTGAAATCACGACACGTGACATTGACATGACCTTTTTAATACCTAAATAGTTCAATCGTTTAGAGGCCTCACCAGATGCTGTGGGTTCGAATACCTTCCTTGGTTAACTTTTTCAATAATGGAAAAAGAAGTTTATTTTCTCGTCATCTCCAGACGTTGCAGCTTGACTACGCAAGCTGATTAGCCTGATATGTAGGCGTGAGTGGCGCCCTCGCCGGCCGAACGGCATCAGACTTACTGTTGTGCTGGGTTTGGGGAACCACAGAAGGCGCAACTCACCCGCCTTTGTCAGGTGAAAATCTGATCAGTCCCAGCCAAGGTGCGAGGTATGATTTACAACAGCGGTTCACAAAATATGCCAGAGTTATCTGTAGCGAGTATACACTTAGCATATGAATGCAACGGAACACCTTGCCAGTTTCATAACGACTGCACGAGATCACCCAGCCCTACTTTGGTTGTCATTGTTTGGTCATAATTCAGCTAAGTTGATTATTGTTTTCTTTTATGTTATTTACGAGTGTATCTTTAATTAAAGCGTATTAGTATTTGAAAGTATATATCTTTGTGTTGTGTGAATCATTCAACTGTTAGTCGATTTTCATTAATTTTTCCATCCAGCCGTTACACCTGATATCTTAAATATCTGGCATTGTACATGCGCAATGACCACAATTCACACGACAACGTCCAACGCAGACA